CCGGGTGGGAGCCGGCGCCCCCTAGAGGGGACAGGCCCCTGCCCCATTCCCCGCCCCCCTGAGCCAGCCAGTCCCCGCCCTGGGGCCGGGTGGGAGCTGGCGCCCCCTAGAGGGGACAGGCCCCTGCCCCATTCCCCGCCCCCCTGAGCCGGCCAGGCCGGTACCTGTGCTGGGAGCCGCTGGGCAGCTGGTCCACGTTCTCCAGGTAGCCGGCCAGCCAGGACATGGTCTCGCTCAGGCCCATGTTCCCGCTTCGCTCCCGCAGCGGCACCTCGGCTGCGGAGCTGAAACCCTCCTGCTTGATGTGCTCCGGCGTCGCCTCGATGATCTGCTTCGCCAGCGTGATCATGTCCACCTGCAGGGGGGGAGCCCGGACGCCTGGGTTCTCTCCCCAGCTCTGGGAGGGGAGTGGGGACTGGTGGGTCAGAGCAGGGGGGGCTGGGAACCAGGACTCCTGGGTTCTCTCCCTGGGCTCTACCACTGCTACTGACTTGGGGCCAGTCAATTTGCCTCTGTTTCTTTCTTTACCATAGGGAGAAGGGGTGGCCCCCCAATCATAGCCCATCCCCCCACATAGTCCCCAAGCCTTTCACCCCCACCCCCAGCCATCCCGTCCACCAGCCCCCCGGTACCTGGAGCACGTCAGGGGCCGGCAGGTACCCCTCGTTCTCCGCGTTCTCCTCGTAAGCCAGCAGCTCCGGTTCGGGGGGGCCCTCGTAGTCCATGAAGAAGGAGGGGGAGCAGCGCAGGCCGGGCGGGCTGGGGGGGGCCGGCAGGTACCAGCCCTCGGGGGGCGGGCCGAAGTCCATGGCGGCCTCGGGTTCGGGGCTGCCAGCAGGCGAGTCGCGCAGGGCTGAGGCGCTGGAGTAGGCCGAGGTGACGGAGCCAGAGCCGTCCGACAGCTCCGAGGGTGAGGAGACGCTGCTCACCGTGCTGAGCCCTGGGGCGAGGGATGGGAGGGGGGTCAGTGAGCAGGGGGGGAACCAGCCCCCTTCCCCCCGTCCCTCCACACCCTCAGGGGCGGCGCGGTACCTGTGTCGGGGCTGGCGGAGAGCGGGGAGGGGATTCGCAGACCCTCGGCTGGGCAGGGCGGCCCCCAGCCCTTGTCTCCGGCTCCCCCGGGGGTCGGCTCCTGACGCTGCAGCTCCTCCAGGCGGGCGGCGAGGGCCACGTGGCCCCGGGAGCGGGCCACAGCCAGGGGCAGCCGGCCCAGCGAGTCTGGGATGGAGAGGGCCCGGCCGTCCCAGCGGTACAGCAGCAGGGCCGCGTCCAGGTGGCCCAGGGCGCAGGCCCACATCTGGGGGGGCGAAGGGGGAGAGAACAGAGTGCTAGGGAGTGCAGTGGGGCAGGGAGCGGGGCAGGGGGCTCAGCAGGGGGCGCTCTCCCCTGGCAGGCGGGGCTGGCCCCAGGGCGGCGCTAAGGGGTGCTTTGGGGCAGGGAGCGGGGCGGGGGGCTCAGCAGGGAGCGCTCTCCCCTGGCAGGCGGCGCTGGTCCCAGGGCGGCACTAGGGGGCGC